CATGAAATCACATTCTCAATTTACATATGTTATGCAATTATAGTTAAGAAAACTATATACTTTCTTTTCTTCTTTTTTTTTTTTTTTTTTTTGGTGTAACCCCCCCCCCCACTTTCAATTCCTACGCCTTTGGCACACGTGCGCACACACACAACTGTTAAAGTTTTGTGTTGGTCATTAAATCATGTGACCATTCATTATATTTCAGGTATGTTATTATGCCAGATTGATCAAATTTACGATTTGGAATTTAAAAAATCATATATAATTCTCGATTCACAAACCACGAGAGATTATTTGTCTCAAACATTCACGCAACCCACCTCTATAAATCCAAGCATAAACCCACAAATTAACAACCTCTATATCTGATTTTAAAAAAAAAGGAATTGTAAAATGAATAAAGCTCACATAAAGTTATAAAGGTTTGGTGTCGAACGTTGATAATTTCTCAAGTACATGTAAAGTGCACAATGTACATAAGAGTAAAACGTGGACAATAACGTATGTACATAGGAGCTTACATTTATTACGATTTGCATACGTATATATAGGACGTTCATATACTGTACATGTGCATCAGGGAAAGCACGTTGAAGGTAAAGGGTGGGGTGTCTGCTCCTCTTTCCACCTTTTTGTTAAGAGAATTTTCTGTGTTTTTTTAAAGAATCTTTGCTGTAGTAGTGTCAAAGACTCCCAGAGTCCAACAATTATTTTAATGAAATATATTAAGTCAATCAATTTACAAGAAATATGAAAGTAAAAAGAAGTGGAAAACATCAATATAAAAACCACGCTTTCTTTCGTGGGGGGGGGGGTGTGCTCGTCTTTTCTTGCCTATATAATTTAAAGAACTCTTAAAAGCCTAATGGGGGAAGGGGGGTCGATGTTTTGAATATTGCATGTTAGTCATACAACGAACCAATGCATCACCGTACTTCGAAAAAGAAATATGGAATTAGAAATATTTGACAAAGCTTACACTTAAACTTTTCTAGATATTATACATGTTTAAGTGTACATGTAGGCTACAAAAATCCCCAAAAACTCTAACTTAAGAAAGATTTTAAAGAAAATTAATGATTGTAAATGATAGTAAAAATATATTATATGTTATTTCAAATTGATTTACGGGTCCTTTCATAAAGCTTTCTTTTTGATTTGTGTAGCAATGCTTTTCGAAGATCAGCTCTACTTTGCAAAAATACGATACATTTGAGTTACAGACCCCCCCCCCCCCCCCCCCTCCGCAATTTGTTCTAAGCATAACCTTTACTTTCTAAAATGTTTATTGAAAGGTCTGTTGACTTTCTTCCAAGCATCACATTTACTAAATTGAAAATTTTCATTGAAGGCCCCCTTTTTTACTGCAGTACAGTCAAAGAAGGGTAGGCAGTAGCGTGTGAGAAAAAATGGCACTGAAGGAAGTTTGACAACTTTCCTTGTTTTTTCCCATGTCTGCTTTTTAAAAAAATAGATTTGAATTTTTCTGCCCCCTCCCCCTTTTCAAAATCGAAGTTACACCCCTGAGTTAAGTTGGGAAAAGTCAACTGCATATAGACATCTTATTTCACATGCAATTTAGATACCGGTATTTAAAATGTATATTTTAGACATTTGCTGCCATAAGTTTGTTTCACATCTCTGTTAATAAGGACAATTTTCATGCAATTTAGATACCGGTATTTAAAATGTATATTTTAGACATTTGCTGCCATAAGTTTGTTTCACATCTCTGTTAATAAGGACAATTTTCAAATAGCAGTCGATGCGATGTTTTCAGTTATTAACCGGTGCAATATATGCTAAGACTCTGATAGCAACCGTAACTTTAAAAAAATCGTGTTTTGTCCAAAAATCTCTTTTAAAATACACTTGTCAATTTTTAAAAAAATATTTCTAAGAATTATTATAGATTGACGGATCTTCAAATACCAAAATACCCACAATCTGAATAATAGATGATGTAAAAAAGCATGAAAAGTGGGTATTTATTGACTGAAGATTCGGTACAGGCTTCGGAAATTTTACTAATTTTAAATTATTAGAGGGCTATTCAGCAAATTACACATGACAACATCTATAGAAATACCTTACTTGTTCCGTGCACCCGGACTTTTCAGAGACTATCTTGATTTGGGGTCATATTTCACTGTTTTACAACTTGTTCTAAGAGTTTTCAACATATTTATTTCTGCTAGCAGCCGTGAAATTTTCGAATAGCAGCACTGAACGCGATTTTGTTCAGATAGCAGCCGTTTAGGTACTACACCGTGTAAATATTTTCATGATTTACCTTGATTTAGGGGGAAACACAGATTTCAATAGTTTGTTTCGTTTCGTTTCGGCAGGTTTCGTTTTGATTTTGTTTCGTTTCGTCTTGATTTCGTTTCGGTAGATTTTGTTTCGTTTCGGTAGATTTCTTTTCGTTTCGTTTCTTTTTCGTTTCGCACTTTACAGGTACCCTGTCCAAATATCATCTCCAAGATGTTGAGGTATAACCCAGACATCGTTGTAGTATGCTTAGGTGGAAGCGACATTTCTAGTGGAGCCGAGGCGTCTACAGTCATTGACTGTCTGTAAAGCCTTTTCGACCAAATTAAAGTCTTGAATTCCAGCTGCAGACAAACAGAGATGTTCTTCACAGATCGTTTGTAGAGGAAGATTTCGCTTTCCTCTGCAGCGTGGGGAGGTTGATGCAAGGCGTAGGACTGTTAACAATAAGAAGAAGAAAATCCTTGGCAGAACTTCATCAGAATATATGTCAAATTTCCAAGACATTACCTTTCCGATGAGACCCACTTCAACGGGGCGGGAACAGTCCTCTTCTTGCTTTCAATAAGCAAGACCATCAAGAGTCGCTCCTAGAAGTTGAAAATAAACGGCCCTTGTAAGGGCCATTCAATACATCGAAAAGATACCTATGAATACAGACGTAGAAACGTCGCACTTGACGTATATGCCCATTTATTTTACCGAACTTACCGGTAAATGAAAAAGAAATACGTAATACCTATAAATATACACAGTATAGTATATAATACACAATTACTAAAAACTTCTTTTTTATAATTCCCGGATAAAGTGATATTTGCTCGAATAGTTTTATCTAAACTCGTCATATCTCGTCATATCTACACAAAACATTTTAGTTAGGAATTTAAAACAAGAAACATTTTGATTTAAGCGGCAAATCACAATGTTCCTGTTATCAGGCAACATACTGAAATTATCTGTTATAAATAGAATATGTATCATAAAAATCTATGAATATGCCATATTAAAACAGTGCATGAAATATTGCAGGCGCGTATTTTATTTGAACAATCGATTTTTTTTTTCATACATAAACTTTATAAGTAGCCTATCACGAGCTTATTACCGGGACTTATGTTAAAACACAATAAATATCTCTTTCACTCACTCTAGCATATCCCAAAGGAGGTGTAATCCCCCCTCTCCCATCCAAATTTGCTAAATTGCATTTCTTTTGTTTTGGAAGAGCATAAAACGTGCTTTATCCTTGTCTGCTGCAGCAAAAATTTCGTATTTGTGAGAAATTAAAATTTTACATATCATGAAAATCCTTAGAAAATGTATACATGTACAATTTGTACCTAAATGTACACGTACATGCTAATACTCTCTCCTCTTCAAATTTCGCCAATCAATTCTTACCCGATTATTTATTTAATTTTGATTGCTTTTTTACAACATGCCATTAAATTCTCAAATACCATGAACAATCAAGAGGAATTTAACAAATCTCCATTAATTGATCGAAACAATTAAGAGAAGGATATGGAAATAACGAACTGTATACAATCTCAACGTCCATTAAACAAATATACAAAATAAGAGCAGAGCAAACACGGACCTCTGAAACATCAGAGGTGGGATCAGGTGCCATGGAGGAGTGAGCATCCCCTGCCGACCGGTCACACCCGCCGTGTGCTCGTTGTCATAATCAGGAAATAACGGAAAAAATCCGTGGTCAATTCAGTGTATAAATAATGGACTAACAATTGGTATGAAAAACGTCAGTCAGCATTTCATTCAATGATAAATTGTATTTGCTGACAAGGTCACTGTATCAACCATAGAATTTACGAAATGATGACTTTAAACGAGACTGTTGATATTCTTGTTTTATCAACATGCAAAAATCATTTGTTGCAAATTAGATAAGACAAACCGTTATCATTAATAAACACTATTTTTAATTTTTGATGGACATTTTGTTGAGACAGACATAACGAGAAGAAATTTTAGATGATCGGCGGACACTTTGCGACGGCAGAAATAGTGTGCCGATTTTTTTTTTGGGGGGGGGGGGAGGCGGACATTTCTTGGCGACGGACATAATATTACTATTTTGGGGGGAGAAAGGCAGACATTTTGTAGCGAAAAGAGGCGGACATTTCGTGACAGCGGACATAACGTGACGATTTTTCCGAAAAAGAGGCGGACATTTCGTGACGGCGGACATAACGTGACGGTGGACAAAACGTGACTCAACAGCGTACTTTTTGTAGTGAAAAAGTGGCGGACATTTCGTGACGGCGGACATAATGTGACGGCGGACAAAACGTGACTCAACAGCGTACTTTTTGTAGTGAAAAAGTGGCGGACATTTCGTGACGGCGGACATAATGTGACGGCGGACAAAACGTGACTCAATAAAACTTGTTTATGCATAAACATTTAGGTATATCACTAGGCTTTAAATAAAGTTAGAATTAACTGGATTATCACCATTGTGGCATGGAAAAAAGCTACTGATTGCTATAAATAAAGTCAAGGTATATATTTTCCATTGAAACTATTTATATCCAGATGGAAAAATATGAAACAAAAATAATTTTTTGAAATCCATGTTTCCAGGCTTTTGAATAAATTTTCTATAAAAAATCTTTTTCTCATAGAAACTGATCGATTTATCTCTTTTGATAAGAAATACATGAGAAATAAATGCATTGAATCAGTGTCATGACCAGTCCAAAATGTGTAATGTCATATATTTATTTTACTCTGATTTGTTACGTATTGTAAATAGTCCTGCCTCTCTATGTATCTGTATACACACAATCTCTTTTCCCCATAGCGTAATCCAACCCAGAGAAGATGAGTTTTGTCGTCATAACTCAGGCCCATTGGTTTGTTTATCCCCTGATGCCGTGTCAGAATAAATGACAGGAAGTGACCGTCCCTGCCAAGCATATGTATTGTGTCGGTGATTAAATCACACACCAGGATGTGTGACAGAGCGTCTGTACAGATTCCTAATGGCAATAGTCCTGATCCTGATGGTAGACCTCTGTAGGAGAAACGATGTCTTCCTCCACTCTCTGTCACCACAACAGCACCATTCGCAAAATAATAACAGTCAGACACAATAACATCTCCATTCTTGTTCTCTGTGATTAAGATAGGATCAGAATACAGTTTTTGGCCTGTGCTGTCATGCTGTATTGCCTGTTTGAGTCGCCCTTTGTCATTATAGCGTGCTATTATGCCTGAATTACAGGACTGCATCCCGACCAGCAATTCACCGTTGAGGTGGGAGGAGTATATACACTGTGGTGTCCATGGTTTTTCTTTATTCATCAATGTAAACTTTGTTCTGTTATCTTTAGAGAGCTTGATAATTTTACCATCCCTGTGTATATAAATAAGATCACCAGTAAGATTCACTGTGTGTTGTCCAAACAAGTCAATTTCATGATGATGTAGCATGTCACCCTATAAGTTTATCAAGCTAAGATTTTTACCATCACTGATACAGGCCTGGTCTGGTGTCAAACCGGAAATATGATATATTTCACCTGGTACATTGACGGACCTGTGTAACACAGGTGTAGACATCAGTTTCAGCAGACTTTCATCACTCACTTGTCTTTTTCCTGTCTCTATTATTTGGATTTCACCCAGTAAATTAGTCACATCCTTTGTGTTGATTTCTTCAATCAGACAAACCAGGGCGTATTGTGTGAGACTAGCAGTGTCTTTTAACTTGTATACACGAGTCTTCTTTAGGAATATAAGGAATTTTAGAGGTCTGTTTGCCAAATGGTCAGATCTGTGTTCAACGTTTTCTATACTGGCAAGGTGTCTGTTTATTTTTCTCTTCTGATGATGTAAACTTTGAATAATTTTTTTGCATCTGATTTTAACATCACACATGGCACGCGGGTTTGTTAAGGCAGCACATGGATCAGAATTCGGCGAATTAACACATTTTTATAATTATGCAACACTAATAAATCGGAAAAGTCAAGGATAAAACTTTTACTATAATCATGTATTCTATAGACTTCAATGGAACTTATACTACAGGAGGCACTTCACCATGACGTCACCACGTGACGTCTATAATTAGAAAATATGCCTTAATGAAAAAGTGAAAAGTTTAACACTACCCCGGGGATAAAAAGTTCCAATTTATATTAACAGTTATGTTAAAACATTTCTGTCACATGAAAAGTGCTGCTAGAATCCTACTGTCCTCTTATAGAAATAATTATTCAACAATTTCACACGAAACCTTCCCAAAATTTTTACATTTTGTTCATAACATCGAAAAAAATGCATCATTTCCCGTAAACCATACGATTCTAGCAGCACTTTCCAAAAACAAAAGAATAAGAACTTTAGAAAGAAACAAAAATTAAGTTTCAAGGTATGCGGCGTAGTGTTGAACTTTTGCATCTTTTTTGTTACGAACGACAGAGGAAAGGCTGATCGGCAAGTAAACACCCTCCCTTCTTTCATTTTACGAAGAAATTACAGAATTATATTACCATACCTTATTCATATGCTTTAGTCCCACAAGAATCACACATGAATTTCATTCTAAATGCTTTTCAACTCCGATTTCTTGTGTTTGTTTACATCAATTTTCGTTACTTTTCACTTTCACTCTGCTACTGCATGATCAACAGTTATGACGTCACGGGTTTGGTATGTAACCCCTGTGATAACTACAGAGGCCCAGGAACGACAAAATCCCGTTGATATTATTCCTCTGCCTATTTTGGTTCATTTTAAGACCTCAAATCAATCTTAGATATCGATTTTAAGAAATTGTTATCTCTAAATCTCACGTCATATAGCTTATTATGACGTTATATCATACATGTATAGGCAAGTAGAATATTTGCTTGTAACCTTAACCTACCTGCGCAGCGTCTATGACGTTACGTAGCTATAGTTTCTGGGCTTTTATTAACATCTTTGACTAATTGTTGGAGATTTCTGAGTGATATTTTTTTATATCAGCTTTGATTCCTGTCAGAACACAGCAGCTATTATAGAAAGTCTCACTTCTGATGTTGTGAATGATTTCTCTGTGTTTTTGACGGTTTGTTTTGTATGCCGTTCTAATGTCAAGTATATTGTGATTTCTGTGTTCTTTACATTGGAAACAGAAAGGCAAATCACATGACTTGCAGAACATTTCATAGATGTTGTATTCATGTCTTACACAGGTCTCCTGTTTTGTAATGAATTCATACTTCTCACGGTAAATCACAACATTGTGGCTTATGGTATTTAAACTAATAACATGTCTCTCTTTACACTGTAGACAGAGGTCATGTTTACACGTGTTACAGTAGAATTCTGTATCCTCCTGACATTCATAACACAATCGGGCTTTACACTGCGTCCTAAGTCTTAGATTGTTCATGATTTAGCAGCTCATTCAGTAGTCACAAAATCTGCCAAAATGAGTCAATTACAATTAAAATAAATATTTCATGTTTAAAAGCATCTTTTAAATATAAGTTCTGTTTTGTTTAGCAAAATAACTTGAGAAAAAATTAAAATTAATGATCTAAAAGAAAAATTACGCGTCACAGTACACAATACATGCATTCGTCAGGTGACTGTCAAAACAGTTAATGAAACTACATATTAGATTCAATGAAGGAGGAAGGAGTACCAATGAAGGTCTTCAAATTGATATTAAATACACCTGGTAATATAGCTTCTACAATCTACAATTCGTTTACTTTTCTATATCTCTCTTTCTCTCTGTCTCTATCTCTCGTTCTCTCTTTCAACTTTGTCTTAATAAAGAACAGTTCATATATCGATCAATGTCAGATAAGCATGCATATAAATTCAAACTTAAACAGAAATATATTTTTGATTGTATAGTAGGACTTACTGTTAAATTTGAATGGAATCAAAATAACGTACTTATAAACTGTTTATATATTAAATTTTCGGAAAAACACACATCTTGTACAGTACCGTACTTCTTTTTTTTCTATCTGAGAATACGAATCATAGTTCCAAACCTTGTATTTCAATTGCACGTTGATAATGATCACAGAATAACTGAATGAATTGAAAAGCATACAGACTGCCCATAGAAAAAAAGGTGTGAAATAATGCTTTAACTAAAGAATGGCGTACTTTAAACTTTAAATTTTGCGGTATTATTATTCTTTCAAAAGATTTAAATGTCCTAGCGATTGATGTTGTGATTCCTTTAAATGGACTTCAGCCATCATCAAGCTAAGATTATCATTTTCATTGTGATGCATTATGCGAATTTAAGAGCCATTCTTTATAAGAACCAAAATTTCTCAATAATCGATGAAAAGGTGATGTCACCGATTTTGTGCAAAATTTTAACAATTATTACTTATATAACACCCTTTCTTGAAATTTAGCACACAAAAATATTGGGGGTGCCGTTACCATGGTAACCACACATGGCTCTAATATGGCCTCCTGAACGCCTCTCAGGGCACTACTTTTGACATTTTTAAAACAAAAATAATTAAACAACCGATAAATTTGAATATAAAATAAATATATCTGCTTAAGAATAAGATCTAAAGCAACAAAAATGATGCAAGTTATTTACATTTGTCTATCATTATTGTATCTAATTTAATCACTTAAATCTCAATATTTTGATAAATTGTCCATTTTTGGAAAATTGCATTTTTTGTACATTTTTGAGAATAAATTGAATTAATATGCAGAGACATATCTTCATCTCAATCATATTTTATGTGAATTTGAGCCCTAATTAAAAATATACTAAAAAAATTAAAGGTGTGTTTTTTCTTAATTCCAAAATAATTAACTTTCAAAATCGTTGTCATGGCAACATCAGAAATATTTCAAGATAGATTATCTTGTGTTTATATATAATTATTGGATTGAAAAATGTGGGGAAAAAATAAAATTTGGATCGATCAACATGGATCACATATTAATCCAGAACTTTAATTTTAAATTAAGTTTTACTAGTTGTCATAGCAACTATATATGTCTATGTATTATGCTTTTGTTGTAAAAAGACACATATTATATATGGTCTTCATATTCGATTTTCATATAAAAAAATCAATTAGCTCAACATCAATTCATTTGACACGTTCATTAAAAAATCTTTGTGTTAATGTGATCATTGTCACATGTACAGTTGTCATGAAAACCTTTCAAAATTTCATTCAATATAATATGATGTATAATGTTCTTTGCCTGTGATTTATAGTAATAATACTGGTCTTTTTAAGATCAGAAAGAAGGCGATACATCGTAACAATAAACATTGTAATTCAAACATGACCCCATCTATATATCATATGAGACAATATTGAGGAAAGGGATATATTACCGCATATTTGAGTTCATCTCTCATTATGCGTCGTTATCAAAGCTCTATATCCTTTAATTATATGTCATCATTCACCTCCTTTTTGTGAAAAATCGAATAAATGAGACAAACCGGAATTTATTTATCCATCCAAACAGTGTCAGGACGTAGTCACAAGGTTTACGGGTTATCTCCCCTTTTCTATGCATCAATGAAAGTGAAAGGTGGGTGATGAAAGTATCAGATTTATTTTTCTGTATTATGAAATATTTAATCATAATTTCCAATTTTTTAAAGTTAAGTTTCAGTCAAAGAATTAACATTGATTATCTTATCAACATTGATATTGCTAGATGGCAAATATTTCATTGGATTGAAACAGATTGATTTGTCTCCCGTCCATACTTTAAAGACTGGCACATGGTACAAGATATACAAGTATGGTAATAATAACCAACTTCATCAGTATATTTTGAATGAAGTAAAGCGTACTTAGTGAAATATTATTCAAACAAAATGAGCTAATCTAAAAATAGGTCTGAACTTCAACTTTAATCGGTCCATGTTATTCAAGGTCATTGGTCAAACATCCCTACACATGGTAGCCTATATTTAGATACTTACATGTAGATCCCTTGGCCTATCTTTAGGGGGTTTAGAAATAGGAATATACATAATTATTTATAATTCTTACATTATGAGTATGGTTTTGTAACTTTAGGCTTGTTGTATTTATCTGTTCATTTAAAATATTTTTTGACATTTAAAAAAAAACTTTTCTTTAAAACAGGGAATAAATAGAAAACATTCAGATTTAGAATAAATTAAAGTGTGATAAAGCTATTGTATCATGTCTTTAGAATTATTTACCGTGATTCACATAGGAACAGAACTCTAATTAAAGGACATAAATTTTCAATCAAGGCCATTCAACTTTAACAATGGTCC